GCTTTACACAATTGATGTGTGTATGGATTGCGATAACAGTTGTATGAGCCCCTAATAAAATGTTTTTAAAAATAAATAAATAAAAGCAAAATAAAGAAAAAAAATGGGCTCAAAGGTTTTTGTACTCGTGGAGGTTATAGTTTGGGAATAATTTTGGTAATATAATAGTGAAATTGAGACATACTTGGGAATGGTATAATGTTGGCCCCAAAGGAGCTAACAGAGACTGAGGGCAGTGGACTATTTCCATGGATACCCTTGCACCTGAGGGAAAATCTAGGCACCTAGGTTGCTAACGGCTTGGCTGCAGCTCTGGAAGGAGGACCTGTCTGAGGGCGCTGGGCTCCTTCCCAAGAACAAAAACCTTGACTCTCCTGAGAAGGCAGTTTGTTATGAGAACCTAGTGCTTAGGCTGCTCCCTCGTTCCTTGTGTACTTTGAGAAAGTGCATATGTGCATACTAACCCATGCCTTAGCTAGCTGAAAAAATAAAAGACCGTGCAGAGCAGCCATCTGGGCTACACCCAGTGCAGAGGTGTCAGCCCTTCGCTGGTGTCAAACCGCATTCCCCGGGTCCATGTCTTCATTTCTGCCCCAAGTCATCACCAAATTCAACAGTACAATGAAGACTAATCTGGCCTTAAGAAGCCCTGGTGGCATGGTGGTTACGTGCTTAGCTAAAACCACTCTGTGAGAGGCAGATGGGACCATCTATTTCCACGAGGATGTAGAGCCTTTGAAATACCATCGGGCCACTTCTACTCTGTCTTACTAGGGCTACTCTGAGTTAAAATCAACTTGACAGTAATGTTTTTGTTTGTTCGTTTTGTTTTGGGTCACAATGAATTGCAATCAACTGGACAATAAGCGATCAAACCTCGTCTGGGTGGATAATTGTTGTTAGTTGCTATCCAGTGGATTCCTGCTCTTGTCAGTCCCACATGTGTAGCGTTGAACAGCATCTTAAGATTTTTCAAGATTCTGACCTTTTGAAAGCAGGTCACCAGGCTTGTCTGCCAGTGTGCCTCTGGGTAGGTTCAAACCTCCAACCTCTTGATTAGTCGTGGAGTGCTTAGTAATTTTCGCAACATCTAGGACTCCTTGCGAAGGCAGAAAAGGCCTTGAGAGAACTCACTATAGGCACACAGATTCAAATTAATTCTAAAAACAAATTCCCAAAAGATATACACACTGAAGCCATCACTACTATCCATTTTAATTTTGTATTTAATTTGTGCTATGTTTAGTTTTAGTTGTATAAGAACTATAGCAATTTCTGTGTAGAATAGTGTTGAACATATTACACGTGTGTTTAGGTATCAGTACAATCAAATATGACAGTGCTTCAAAGCTATGGATAACATTTTCAGTGGCTTCTTCCTCCAAAGTGGTGGGCCAAGTCTTTCTTCTGTTTGAATTGTGGTGCTGGAGAAGCATATTGAAAGTATCATGCACTGCTAAACGGTTAGAGCTATCTGTATTGGAAGATGTAAGGCCAGAGCGCTCCTTAGAGGCAAGGCGGCAAGATTTCATCTCACTAATTTGGACATACAAAGGGGTACCCCACCAAAAAAATGGAATTTTTTTCAAAGCTATGTACTTAATGTTTTTTGGGGTTTTTTTTTACAAAACAACCTTATTGCCTTCAAAGTACTCTCTGCTACACTTAACACATTTGTCAAATCTGCAATTCCATTCTTGGAAACATTTTCCAAACTCTGTTTGGATGGCTGACAGCACCTCCCTTTTTTTTTTTTCCTTCGCCTCTTCTATGTTGTCAAATTGCAGACCTTTCGTGTCCCTCTTCATTCGGAGAAACTAAAAGATGTCTCATAGAGCAAGCTCAGGTGAGTTAAGTGCGTGGCTGGTTTTTTTTGCCAAAAACTGGCACACTGAGATGGCTGCGTGAGCAGGTGCATTGTTGTGAAGGCAACACTAGGCCCCTGTCTGCCACACATCAGGCCTTTTTAGTCCCACATTGTTACTGCTAACTTCCCCAATGGTCTGTTGTCGGTCTTTGAGCATGAATTTTGTGGACATTTCTGTCCAGTCGGGAAGTTGATGGACGTCCAGAATGAGATTTGCCATCAATTGGCATTTCACCTTTTAAAAGTGAAAAAAGCCACTCATACACTTAAGTTTTTCCTATAGCACTGTTCTTGTAAGCTGTGTTCAACATCACAACAGTTTCTGTGGCAGGAAACAGGAATTTCATAGCCGCACGCTGTTCTCTTAAATCAGCCATCACAAAAAATGAGGTTCGAGGGAAACTGCTTTTACGAAAAAAATGCACTGTGACCAGAGAGACCCTTCCCAGGTGATGTCACTGGGTGCACTAACTCAGAGTGAGTTGCTGGATGCTCACCTAGTGGGGGAAATACAAAAGCTCTGCCCAGGGGAGCTTTTTCCTGTTTTTTTTTTCAGGGGGGGTGGTACCCCCTCGTATTGTCAGGAAAGACCAGTCCCTGGAGACTGAAGGACATCATGTTTGGTAAAATAGAAGGGTGATGAAAAAGAAGAAGGGTCCCAATGAGATGGACTGACACAGTGGCTGCATCGATGGGCCCAGACTCTGTGAGGCCGGGTTGACTAGAGAAACAAATTCAGCAACACGCATAGGTGCAAGAAAGAGTTTTATATAAAGAAGCAATCGCACATCAAGAAAACATCCCAGTCTAGTCCAACTGATATTCGTTTATAAGTCCCTCATCAGACTCGCACAGCCTCAAGAAATGACACAGAATGCAGCAAGATCACAGGTTGGTGGAGGCACGTTTGAGTGGATCCAATGCTTTTCAGGTCTGAGTAGCCTGCCAGCAGGAAGATGAAGGCGGGGGTGGAGGTGGGGGGACAGGGGGGGAGTTGCTACGCCCACAAGGAGTCACCATCAGACTGTGACCTGAATGACAGGTTAAACTTCACCCCTGCACTTTATTTATCTTCAAGTTGATATGAAATTATTGTACTACCACACAGGCATAGGAACAACGGTGAGGATGATGCAGGACCATACAGTGTTTCATTCTGTCGTGCATTGGCTGGCTATGGGTCAGAGCTGATTTGATGGCACCTAACAAGAACAATACAAGACTTTTAAGTCAACATTGAGTATCAGCATGTTTTTCCTTAAAAAAACTTTCTATTGTGATTTGGTAGAAAGTTTACATTGAAAATTAATTTTTCATTCAACAACACACATTTCGTTTCATAACACTAATTGCAATGCCCACAATATAATAGCACTCACGCCTTTTCTTCCTTGTGTTACCTTCTTCTTTTCTCTCCCTTCCTGCCTTTTGAACTTTATCTTTCGGAAAATACAGCCCTTTGCATCTCTAATAACTGATATAATAGTTTTATAAACCAGGAACCAAGCTCCGTGTATTAGAGTCGATGCTGAATCATAGCAGCCCTCTGTGGATTTCCCAGACTGTGAGTGTTCATGGGGGCAGAAAGCCTAGGGTCTCTCCCACCAAACTGCTGATGGTGTCAAACTGCTGACCATGCAGACCACAGCAGAACACGTAACCATATCGCCACCAGTGCTCCTTAGGCTGGTGCTCCTTTGGCTGAAAGGTGGGCCCCCCGGGGAGAATTGAGTTCCAGGCTTGAAGGGTAACTAAGGGCTGTCGTCTCAGGGGTTATACCAGTCATTATCAGACCAGTCAGTCTGGTTTTTCTTAGGGTCTTGGGTTTTGTTTTACATCTCCTCCCATTCTACCCATGACCTTCTATTGTGATCCAGAACAGTCAGTAGTGGTAATCAGACATCGTCTAGTTCTTCAGGGTTGTGGAGTTTGGGGTGCAGGTGGTCTGTTTGTCATTTGGACTAATCGTTTCAGTGAATCATATTTTTCCATTTTAAAGGGGAATTCCAAAGATTATTTACGAGAGCTGAACTAAGATTTTTAAAAAGCAAAGAAATGGAGACCAAGGCATTCGGTGTTGATTCCTAGCGAAAGGCAGGCAGCCATCTGTATCCTGGCTTGTCATTTGAAAATTTGGTTTACAAGGTGTTGCAACAGAATATTTTAGAGATTTTGAACAAAGGATAACATTTAAAAATTCCCGTGCTACTATGAAAATTCCAGAAAACTATTCACAAGTTTATTTCTGTAAAGAAAATGGGCAAAAAACAAGGGCCAGATACAGGATATGACAACAGCAAACAGTGAAGGGAAATTTGAATTGCAGGAATGCCTGGTAAACTCTCCCCAGTAGGAAATGGCGCTGTGCATCCTAACACCAGTTACTGGACAAATACTTGGAATTTCCAGAGATGACCACGAAAACATCAGTAACGAAGTGATGTGTTCTTTTTTAACTCTATTATGGAAATTTTCTAGTGTGCCCCAAAGTACAGAGACTCGTAGCTAGAAGTCCTGCGCAACCATCTTATTTTCTTTATATTTCCCGTTCCCCTTTACGCGGAAACAGGTTCCAAGTGTCACACCCTTAAAAATGTCAGCGCACATCTCTAAAAGCTGGCTTGTTTTGTTTTTTGCATCTTCACTCTGGCTTGCTCCCTACACTTCCTCTCGCGCTTTAACCCCGACAGGCCTTGCAAGGCCAAGGCCACGTCTCGCTCCGCCCCCCCTCCTGCGGAAGCTCACTCCCCGCGCGCTCCCGCCGGCCGCGCGCGCTCCCGCCGGCCGGCGCGCTCTTGCGGTCGGTAGCGCGAGGCGCCCCGCCCCGAGAGGGCGGAGCCGGGCTCGGGAGCGCGCACGCAGTGCGTGGGCTCCGAGCTCGCTCCGGAGTCTCCGGCAGCGCTTTGGGGAGAGACGAGCTCCGTGGGCCGCCATGTTCTCCGCGGTCTTCCGGGCGGCAGCCGCCGGTCTGGGCGCCCCGTGGGTAAGAAGGACCGCGCCGCGCTCGTGCTGTCCGCGGCCGTGCTTCCCTGGGTTCTGGGCGCAGAGGGTTCTGGGCGCGGCGCGGCCCGGCCGGGAGGGCAAGGGCACGGTGGCCTTCGCCGCGTCCCCGTGACTGGCGCCGCTGCCCCCAGCGGACGGAGAGCGTCGTCCGGGGAGACCGGGACCGGGTCGGGCGCCCCGCCACACTGGGGGCTTGGCCGGTGTGGTGCAGGAACGGTGCGAGAGGAGCCCCGGGGGGTCTGGCCGACCCCAGTCCCAGAAGCAGCAGGCAACCTGCATATCCAGAGCAGTGGACAGGTGGCCGCATGCTCCAGCGCACTCTCCAGGCTGCAGGCTCGGGCTTACGTTCGTTTTTTAACACATTTTCAAAACCGCATGCAAGCATTGCACAGCGCTGTGCTCGGCTCTGGGCTGCTAACTGCAAGGTCGATGGTTCAAACCCATCAGCCTCGGAAAACCTACTCGGTGGGGTTTCACTTGACCTTCGGTGTGTTTTTACAGTCTTCATTTTTGTCTTCGTAAGAAGGTGAAATAGAGTTCTTGTGTCTTGGATAGACTGAATTCGGGACTTTAGTAGAGACTTAAGACCCGAGTTTGGACTGCGGTTTGTGTTTGGTTCGCCACCTTTTCTTGGCCTTGTAAAACGGCACTATTCCGATTTGTAGTTTATCATTATTGGAGGGCTGCTGGACCGCAGGGAACAGTGGAAGTAAGATTTGTTGACCACTTTTTATGTGCCAAGCACTGTGAAATATTTACATTCAACATCTCGATAGGACATTGGTATTCCCATGAGTTTGGCCCTATGTCCTCCATGGTGTAGATGAGGGATCTTAGATGTGATATAATGGTAAAATATATTAGATACATGCGTGAAAAAGCAAAACAAAACTTGCTCTTAGTGGGACCAGGGTGACTTCATGCTTTGTAGGGTAGGGATTTTCATACTGTGATCTTTCAGAAACAAATTGCCAGGCCTTTCTGCTGACTTGCAGAGTGGTGTGCCGGGGCCACTGAGCTGGGGAAATTGGACTTACAGCAGTGGAGCCCAGTGCCGTTGGCCTGAGGCTTACTGGAGTGGGGTGCCTCTGGGGACTGAATTCACAGAGCTGCGTTTGCTGACCCAAGGAGCTTTGAACTGTGCACCTTTGAGTTGAGGTTTACAGCAGAGTGGTATGCCCCTTTGAGCATTTCTTAGCAGACTTGAAACTTTTTAATACCTTAAGCATTGCTCACTGGCATTATAATTTGTTAACTTCCTTAATAAACCCTTTAATCATAAATTTTGTCTTGAGTTTTTGAATAGCCATTGCAATGGATATGACTACCCAAAGAACTAAAATAAGAACATTCTTTCAGGTAGTGCACTAACTGTTAAGGTAAAGTGTATCTGAGATGAAATAGAGACGTGAGCAGAGGCCACATATTGGAGCTTCTCACATGCTACACTGAAGAATTCGACTTTCTCGGAGAGGCAGTGAAGAGTTTTAAGCAGCAAGGGGACAGATCAGGTTTCTGCTATTGACGAGACCGACATGGGATGGGCTTGATAGGCGCTTGAGTCAGGGAGTCGAAGGTTAAGAGACTTGCAGAACCGTAGGTGAGAGATGGTGAAAATCAGAATTTGTCTATAGTAGAAAGGATGGAAGCAAGATAAATCCATTCTTGTTTTGTAATGGCTGATGAATCGATTCTAACTCAGCGTGAGCCTAGCACAGCAGATCCTGAGATGCCAGCCTCACCGTGGCTATACATGCGCCTGTTGTGGCAGCTGATGTGTCAGTCCATCTCATCGAGGTTCCTTTCTTTTTCACGGGCTCTGCCAAGCCTGATGTTCCTCTCCAGTGATTGATCTCTCCTGCTAACGTGTCCAAAGGATGTGAAACAAAGTCTTGCCATCCCCTTGCCTCTAAGGAACATTCTGGCTGCCCTTTTTCCTGGACAGATTTGTACTATCTCTTGTCAGCCCCTGGTATATTCCGTATTCTTGAATATTTATCAGGCTAAATTAAAAAGCAGTTTTAACTGAAAAAGTAACGTTAGGTAGTGGTGGGAATTTTTAATTAAGTTTCATGTCTTACAACTTATTTTTTGTCCTTTCTTATAAGCATTACCTGATATGCATGCAGTATGTGTATAATTTGTTGAATTGATGAATAAGTTTAGTTTTTTATTTCACAAGTAATACATTCTAGAGAAAAAAGAATACAGGCAGTCCCCATTTACAAATACACTCTATTCTTAAATTGAATTTGTACATAAGTTGGAACAGTTAGGTACTGTGTTAGGTAGGGTTCTCTAAAGAAACAAAACCAGGACAGGTATGATTATATATAAATGAAAGGATAGATTTATACAGCAAGAAGGAATATAATGGCCGATCGTCCACACAGCAGTACAAAAGGCTCAGTTCAACTCACTTTCATCAAACAGTTAAAAGGTCCTTCAACTCACTTGGGCTGCTGGTCCAAAATCAAGGAAGCAGACCTTGGAGTCTGCCCTCAGGCGAGACAGGCAAACTGCCCATAGGCAGCAGACAGCAGGGTGGGGCATCAAGATGTACACACAGCAGACAGTACGCACCAGCAGCCTGGCAAAGCAGGTCTTGATGGGACCTCAGGTTGGCATTTTATTTCTATGAACTATTCTTAGAAGAATTGAGCATTGCCTATATCCATATACTTTAATTTGGTTACAATTACCCATTAGTATAATTTCTGTTATTTTAATCTGTAATGCTCCTTGGCTGTTCGTATATCTTTTCTGTATTACACTTAACTACATTTTATTTGCTAATTCTCGTATTGTGTTTTTGGGGAAAGCACTTGTGTTTCTTTAATTTGAATGAACATTTGTATTTAAAATATTGATGGTTCTTTACTTGGAACACATTTATAAAATCTTTCCTAAAGTTTATTTGGAAATTTAAGAAAACTCAAATTTCTGTACTAAGTATTCAGGAAAGCCTATGTATGACTCTGGCCATTTAAGGAGGAGGAACTTTTGTGGCATAGAGGTTATGCATTGAATTGGCATCCACAAGGTCAGCAGTTTGAAACCACAGTTCTTGGATGAAAGAAGAGACTACCCTCTCTTAAAAGTGTTACCCTCTCTTAAAGTCTTGGAAACCCACGGGAGCAGTTCTAGCATTCCCTACAGGGTCCTTATGAGTCAGAATCGACTCGGTGGCAGTGAGTTTGGGTTGACTTGTATAGGAAATGCTTTTTTCACTTTTTCTTTTGAACTTGTGTTTCTTCATCTGGAGGAAAATAGAAGGTTATATTAATACCTAAGAGCCAGGATTGCTATGATTGCTACGTGAGTTAAAGTATTTTTACCTATGTAGTATATTTTTAAGTTTATTGTGCAATATCTGACACAGAATAAGCATTTGTAATTTATCATGCTCACCCTGGGATTAGATTTCACTTGTTTACTATTAATACATCAACTACTTAATTAAAATGTATTGGAATTTTTATCTTTAAGCATTTTTAAAAATGTGAAAATACATACTGTGAGAATATCATGGACACTATCTTCTTGGGGAACTTTTTTATTTCTTTGCCTAACTTTGCCCCAACACATAGATTCCCAAACTTATTTGATGTGCTACCGCTTTTCAGAAAAAAACCCCAAAAACTCAGCCACCCCCTTGGCAATGAAAAACTTTGTACTCTAGTCCTCAATTCACTATCAAGTATACCGTAGGTACCTATTTTGCAAACCTGTTCTCCCCCACTCTCCAATCACCAACCATTCCAGTCCCCGTCCCCACCTCCCCCAGTGGGGTGTCATCTCCCACTTTGAGGAAAATTCCATTATCTTTTAATTCTATTTTCCCATGAACTTTTAAAGTCCATTGTACACCTTGGGGACCATCTGTAAATGTTAGGTAGCAGCTTCGGTTGGCTCCTAAATGAAGGAAAAGCCGTTTTCAGTGGCCTGATCCTAGCCTTGTTTGTTTGGCTCGCTAGGTGACTGCTTTTGTTAGTTTTGTCCTGTAGCTCCCTTATCCTTGGTAAGTGCTTCTAGCTGGATGTGCCCTTCCATTGTACACTCTGATAGAACTGAAAGGTGAGCCCAGTTGGATACTACTGTGTGAGCAACAGTAGAAATGCTAGGAAAGAATAACAACTCAAAATTCACACTCCCTGCCATTGAGGGAGTTCTGACTCATAGATCGACCCTACAGGACAGGGTAGAACTGCCTTGTGAGTTTCTGAGACTCTTAACTCTTGACAGTTTGGAGAGCCCTGTTTTTCTCCTTGGGAACAGCTGCTGGTTTAAACGGTTGAACTGCTGGTTAGCAGCCCAACATGTAACCACTACAGTCGGACTCACCAAAGCTCATTAAAGGTCCCCCTTCCCCTTTTGTAGGTGAAGTGGGTGGAAAATTAATTTTTTTTCTTGGATTTATTAATGTTACTACTGCAAATGATAAACACAAAAGAGATGTAGAAGGTGCATAGGACTTCGATCCAGAGGGCTTGAACTGAAGATCTGTTTCTGTCATTGTAAGGCAAGCTACTGTTAATAAGTATCACTTGTTTCTTTAAATGGAAATAATAACTAACCATAGGTTATTATGAATCTGTAAAAAGTTGTATTTAAAATAAGTATTTTAAATATGTTTAAAATAAGAAAAGTAAGTGCTTAAAATAAAGCCACTCTGGTTTACTGCCACTGTGCCCCTCGCTGTAAGTCCTTGTCCCATCTGAGGCATTCTGCTGAAAGAATAACCTAGCATGGTCATTATAGGAGGACATTGTTATTAATTCTAAAACTCTTCCATTGATATTCACTGAGGCTATTAACATTTCAGAGTGTAATGGGAAGGAGCAAAAACTCAATTTACTCTTCAAACCTAGTTAAAATTTTATCTAGTTTTAACATTATTTCTTTTTTTCCCCCCTCCTCCCCCTTAACATTATTTCTGAAAGACTCTTTTGCTTATGTAAAATCGAATCCGAGTGGGCCATCAATCAGTGTAAAGACACTGATTAAAAATTCCAATATTTTGTTATTCATTTAACTAGCTATTACAAATTAGTTTAAATATAGATACATTTTTTAAAAACATAAACAAATCAAACCCACTGCCATTGAGTTGATTCCCACTTAACGATGCTACATAGGGTTTCCAGTCTGTCTTTATGGGAACAGATAGCCTCATATTTCTCCTGAGGAGCTGCTGGTATGTTTGAACTTCTTACCGACAGCTCCACTCGGGATCCTTGAAGTATTTGGTGCTGACATAAGTCAAATCGCTCTCTTTTAGTTTTAGTTTTTATTGTCTTCTATTATCAATACCTTTATAAATCCTTATTTTTCTCATTGTCTTTGGAATAAGACACTCCATATGAGCCTGTACACATACATATATCATCATATTCATAAATAATACAAATGGTAAAATACACATCATAAAAATATACTCTGACGATGAGCAGTTGAATTATGTTGGTATTTTGCCTGTTGCGGTAATAACTCCACTTATGGAAGGTAACTTAAGTGTTATCCTTATGATTGGGGATGGTGATTATAGTCAGAAAATTAATGAGAGTCGCCTGTGTAGTGCTTTCTTTTTTATTTCACCTCATATTTTGTTGTAACATTTCATTGTTTCCCAAATCTGCCTTTCTGCTTTAGTTTATTAAAACAATCAGTGTTTGTGTCCAAGCTGGCAAGCAGCTGAAGCCCCATGATTCAATTTTGAAAAAACTTAAGCTAATCTTTTCACTGTAGATTTTAAAACATTTTTATTTTGTTTTAGGTGAAAATTTATATATCAAATTAATTTTCCATTCAGCAATTCATATAAATTTTGTCTTGACATTGTTTGCAATCCCACTATATAACAGCTCTAATGGCACTATCAGGTAAGCATTGGACTGCTAACAGCAAGGTTGGTGGTTCAAACCCACTAGCTGCTCAGTGATGAGGATGAAGCTGGCTGTTCCTGAAGATTTACAGCCTTGGAAACCTGTAGAGATAGTAATATTCTGTTCTGTAAAGTCGCTATGCATTGGAATTGAATCGATGGCAGTGAGAATGAGCCTAGATGAATGTGTTGGCAGGGCATGGGTACCCTTCTAAATGTGCAACAGCATTCTAAAGACATTTGAAATATTTTGCGAATTACCAAAATGTGACAGAAACACAAGGATGGTGCCAGTAGACTTCCTTAACATAGGGCTGTCACAAACTTCAGTTTGTAAAATTATTTGTTTACTTTTTTCAGAGCTTAACGCTGAGTATTATTGATTATAATCTATCTTATTTTTATATTTATATATCTCAGTCCATGCTACAGAAAAATGAATTAGGGTGGTATAATGATAACTTTGTATTTACTACACAGATTGATCCTGAAGCAATTTGAGAAGAACTGAGTAAAAATTAAAAACTTGAATTTCTTCTTGGATATAAACTTCCTCACTTTTTAGTTTATTTTGTAATTAAACCACAAAAAGACCTGAAAAATATAATAAACACTTGAATGCCCACTTGTTTCCTAAGAAGGCAACATCACAGTTGGAGCTCCTTGATGTACCTTTCTGCTGGCACCTTCCTCCTCTATTACCTTGAAATTGAAAATCCATCACTCATACTGTTATCCATCAGGCGGCTAATCACTCAGGATTGGACAGCCTGTTCCTCGGCGCAGTCTCTTCTTAGACATACTGAAAGCATTATGCAGAGCAGCAGAACATTGTCAGATAAGAGTGCTGGCTGATGAGCCTCGGCTTGAAAGGCACTCAGACCACCACCAAGGAAGAGCTGCCTCACAAAGGAGAGTTGAACATAACAGTGTGGGTGGAATAATGCCTGTGGGGCCTTCATTTGCTGGTGAGACAAACGAGAAGAAACAATTAATAATCAGAACATGAATTGTATTCAGTATGACTCTAGAAAATTGTAAGTCGTGAAAATAAATCGGAACACATAAATATTATCTGAGGCATTAGTCAGTTTAAACGGACTAGTCTTGGCCATTGTGCATCAGACCATCATAAGTTTTACTGCACAAGGGATGGCAAATGCAGGAGGACTGGCATCCCATTCAATGGGCAGAAGAACATTTCAAGATCTATCTTGATGTATCAACGCTGCCTGTGATAAGATTGCATCTACATGTGTTCAAGGAAATCTCATTACAGTAATACAATTACTCAAATCTGTACATTAACCACTAAAGCTAGTGATGAAGAAATTGAAGAATTCTATCAACTTCTTCAGTCTGCAATTGACCAAACATGCAATCAAGAGGCTTTGATAGTTATTAATGATTAGAATGCAAAAATTGGAAACAGGAAGGAACAATAGTTGGAAAATATAGCGTTGGTAATAGAAATGAAGCTGAAGATCTCATCATGGAATTTTGCAAGAGCAGCAACTTCTTCATTATAAGTACCTTTTTCTTCAACAACATAATCAGCAAGTTGTACATGTGAACTTTGCCAGATGGCTCACACAAGGATCAAATTGACTACATCTGTGGGAAGAGATGTTGGAAAAACTCAGTTTTCAGCCAAAAGTAGGCCAGGAGTTGCCTGTGGAAGAGACCATTGATTGTTCATATGTTCAGATTGCAATTGAAGAAAATTTAAAACAAGTCTACGAGAGCCAAAATATGGCCTCGAGTGTCTCTCTCTTGAATTTCAAGAATAGATCTGAATCATTGGACTCTGACAGAATACCTGACAAACTGTGGGATGACATCAAAAGCAACACACATGATGGCGGCAAAAGGTCATTTAAAAGATACATAAGAAAAAAGATCAAAGTGGATGTCAGAAGAGACAGAAACTTGCTCTGATTGTCTGAGCAGCTAAAACAAATGGAAGAAATGAAGTACATGAGCTGAACAGAACATTTCAAAGGGCAGCTGCAGAAGACAAAGTGTTCTAATGAAAGGTGCAGCCTAACGGTGTAGTAGAAAGACTGTAATATACAGCTCAGGAGATAGCGGCTTATGCTCTCAGTTTTACCATTGACTGTTTAATGCGACCGTAAAAGAACAAATGTCACTGCCATTGAGTCAATATTTGACTCTTCTGACTCATGGAGACCCTATTGGACAGGGTAGGACTGCCCCTAGAGGTTTCCGATACTGTAACAGAATGGAAGGCATTGTCTATTTCACTTGCGGATAACAGCTCAAGGTGTAACCACTATGCCAACAAATCTTTCATGTGACCTTATAGGCATGATAAAAACATGTTTTGATCTCCATTTCCATACACTACTCTTGAAATAGAGTTGGGCCAGAGTATAAAGTGTTAGACCATATTTACTTCTGTAAGTTGATTCTAGTTTTTAAATGGATTCTATTGTATTTAATGAGGGATTGGAAAATATTTCTTTAATGAAAATATTAAGGTTTGTGTTTTACAAAACAAAATTTTTCATTTTTAGGGACGCCATATAAGGAATTTGCATAAGACAGCTGTGCAAAATGGAGCTGGAGGAGCCTTATTTGTGGTAAGTAATAATACTTAGATTTCTTTAGAGTGAAAAGACTTGGCAATTTGGGTAAACCTATTATCTAAATTTTCTTAAATACCAGTGTCTTTGTTTTATACTGGCCTTTGTAGATATTTAAATAATATTAATTTTTTTAAAGATGTGTGGTTTCAGTTTGAACCTGTTAACTATAAATTGGAACCTAAGCAAATGGAAATACAAATTTAGAATACTTTTTGATGAAATTACTGTGAATCCTGAACTTATATCTAGCCATAACTTTGGATCCTTAAAAATTATTCATGTTAGGTCACTGAAGATTCTGAAGCTAGAGTTGAAGAGGGCCGTAAAATGGCACTAATTTAAAGTTTGTAGATTATAGGAATGTAGTGAAAACATAAGCAGTTGGTGGTATCATTTTTTTATTCCTGTATTAATTGGCTTCCCAGCTCAAATGGATAAGTCTCAAAAATTACATTGTAAATAGTGCTTTTAGTTTTTTTTTCCTATTTATATCTAGGGAGGATAAGATAATATTTTCTCTTTCTCTGACACAATTTTGTTTCAGGGATTCATCTAGTGTATTTTACAGGCAATTTAGTGATTTGTATATTTAGGGTTAGGGGTATAATTTTGTAAACTGAGTTTTTTCCAGCCTGAATCTTAAAAAAAAAAAAAATTGGTGGGGTTCATTCTATGGAGAAGTAGATATCTTCTCTATGCTTTATCATTTTTGTCTAAAAACATAGCACATTGGCTACAGATTTGAGATCATTTCCCAGAGTTTCTGTTTTTCTTTCTTCTTTTGGTTTATGAACTTGAAAAAAGCAGAATGTTGAGTCGCAGTCTGCCGTCTGCATGCATATAGAGCATTGATAGATGTTCTAATCTCTGTTAATCTCATTGTTTCTTCACGGTGACATGCAGTTTTTCAGGTTTCAGGATGCTGTGCTCTTTGTAAGGAGAAGCAATACAACTTCTTGCTGTTGTCTAGTTAATGATTGTGGAAAGCTTGTGGGGAAGTGATGGTGCTTTTTGTACTTTCCTTAATTTTGTATCTTTCCTAAAGTGGTGGGTCGTAGACTCTTGGAGCCCCAGATAACTTTGACAACCTGATATATTCTTTAAAAAAATACGTATGTTCAAACCAAAATTGTGTTGTAATTTTTACAAGGCATGCAAAGTCCTATTCTTTAATGAAGTAAGATTTTATATATATATATTTTGGGGGGGGGTCTTGTGTTTTAGGTCTTAAACTACCATTTAGTACTAGCCAACTTTTAAATCTGCTAAAGTAAATTTGTTCTTCTACTTCCATCAGTCAGCAAATGTGTATTCATTAGTTTAACAGATCTTTTGGATGGAAGAATAAATTGATATGTTTCATGTTGAAATTAAAGTAAAGACATTTACAAAGTTATTCATATTTTTGAAAGATTTTTTTCCTTTGTATAGCACAGAGATACTCCTGAGAATAACCCAGATACTCCATTTGATTTCACACCAGAAAACTATAAGGTAGGACTTAAATTAGCACTATAATTAACCTGTAAATTAGTATCTTGCAGATGTATAAAATGGATTTTTTTTTTTAAATACAGAGAATAGAGGGAATTGTAAAAAACTATCCAGAAGGCCATAAAGCAGCAGCTGTACTTCCAGTCTTGGATTTAGCTCAGAGACAGAATGGATGGTTGCCCATCTCTGCTATGAACAAGGTATCAAATTTTTGCATTAGCTTGAAAAGAGGAGAGATTTTAACATGGTGATTTCTTTTTGTAGCGATCTGATGAATCATAATGTCAGAATATAAGTGTTTGAAGCCCTTTAGTAATTTATGTTTCTTCATAAAAGAGTTACAGTCTTGTTTTTGCTGTTGCCCTTAGTAATGCAGAGAACTGAAAAGGCAGAACTTTTTATCCTTACTGAAATAGTGTAGATAGATTACAGTGAAAGGGGATTTTTGTGTTTCCTTTTAAAGATAAATGGCTATAATATAAAGTTTACAAGTGTGTATAATTTGGTATCAAGATACTCTGAAAATTAATGCTATATGTAAACACCAGAATTAGCCATCCCGCCCCTCTCCCCAAAATAGCTGTTCAAGCTAGTGGGAGATAGGTATAAGCATGACAAGTTTAAGTTAGTGCTGACAAAGGCGCCCCACTGAAGTGGTCGTTCATTGGGCTACTAACCACAAGGTGAGCAGTTCCAAACCACCAGCCAGCCCGTGGGAGAAAGTTTGGGTTGGTTGTTCATTGGGAAAGCTTTTTTCACTTTTTCTTGGAGCTCGTGTTTCTTCATGTGCAAGAAAGCATAAAGGTGATATTAGTACCTAGCAGGCAGGGTTGCTCTGAGGAGTAAATTGAAGTGTTTTATGTGTGTAGTGTATTTTAAAGTTTATAGTGCATCTGAGACAGAGTAAGCACTTGTAACTTATGCTAATCCTGGGACTAGGTTTCACTTGTTTACTACTAATACATCAACTACTTTATTAAAATGTATTGAAATTTTATCTTTAAGTCTTTTTTTTTTAATGAAAAATATCTACTGCGAGTATATCATACACTGTCTTCTTGGGGAACTTTTAAATTCAATTTTGCAAATCCATAATAATACAGTATTTAAGCCATTTAATTATAACAATTTAGAATCGGAGTGAGCCTTTTTTTTTTTTTTTTTGGAGTGAGCCATTTTATATTAAATTTAGGTCATTTATATTTTAAGACTCACTGTTTTCTAATAGTGTTTGCAACTATTCACATTTAAAGTTTATTAATACTATGTAGTGGAGCACATCAGAGTCGGAACCCAGTGGGACAGCTTTGTTTTTCCAAGTCTTGCAAGTTTTCCACCTTTAACAGGGTGGAATCTTACCACTTGTGTATTTTATTGGGAAATGTGTGAGTTTCTTTCTGACAGGCTGACCCAAGTTTTACCTTTTGCAGGTTTTACTATTTCACAGTGTATAGTTACTAAGTACCATGTACTTGATTCTTATCAGAGCCACACAACTAATAAGCCTGCATGATATAATGGAAAATATATTTGATTTAGAGCTAAAAGATGTGAATCTTAGTACTAGCCATGCTACACAATACTTTTGAGCCGTGGGTTTTAAATATTCTGGACTTACTTGTTCAAATGCAAAGTGACGGTTTGGATCTAGGTAGATCTCTCCCAATTTATAAATTATGATTTGTAAGTAATGGGGTTGAGAATGAATCTAAGTCTTCTGACTTCCCACTTAGTATGTTTTCTTAGCCCTTTCTGAACTTTATTTGGTCATAACCAAAGGCTAGATCACAGGTTCCCAAATGTATTTGTCCCACTGCTCCCTTTTCAGAAAGTAAATTACTCAGCATTCCCTGGCAATGAAAGACTTTTGTACCATAGCTTTTGTAGCCCCTGGCTCATTCCTTTTTTTTTTTTTTTGCCCTGGCTCATTTCTTTGAGCACCCCACCACCAAATAAAAACATTGTCAATCACCCCCCTTAATTTTTTTTTAATCTAATAGCTTTTTAAATAATGGCTTAGGTATAAGTTCTTAATTTTAGGTATCTTTCTGTTTTATTCACAATTTTATACAAAGGGGCTTCCAAAAGTTTGTGGGCAAATGGAATGAAAAGATAATGAACTTTTTGAAGTTCCTTAATAATGCAAACCTTATGGAAGCCGTACCGAGTGGTAAGCTTAGCGGAGAAAAATAAAATTAGTAAGAAAATAAGATGATGACATTTCAAAAAAGATTTTCCTGAGCTATAGAATTGGGTGTGTGGAGGAAGGAATCAGCATACAGAGAATATAATCAAGAAAAACAACAAACCATGTGGGAAGGGAGAGAGTGGTCGCTGTAAGATATGAAAATAATAATAATATAATTTAGCAAGGGGTCACGAGGGTGGGGGGCTAGGGGAAAAAAGGAGCTGATAATAAGGGCTCAATAGAAAGTAAATGTTTAAAAAGAATGATGGCAACATATGTATACATATGCTTGATACAGTTGTTTTATGAGTTGTTATAAGAACTGTAAGAGCCCCCAATAAAATGATCTTTTAATAAAAAAGAAAAATAGTTATTGGAGTAATGATTCTCTGAGGTACAGAAAGGGGTTTGGGGGGACTGATAGCTATGATGACTGTTTAACCCACCAAAAAGAAATGAATAACACAATTGTAAGTGAACAGATACGTTGGATGGTGTAAGTACAGCAAGTAATAATAATATGTATTATAATACTAAGGGTTACTGTGGGGCTACTAGGGTAAGGGTGGGAGAGGATAAAGGGGAGCTGATATAAAAGAGTTTAAGAAGAAAGAAAATATTTTGAAAATGATAGTGGCAGCAATTGTACAACAATGCTTAATCTAATTGAATTGTGGATTGTTATAATATCTATAAGAGCGCCCAATAAAAGAAAAAGAAAAAAAAGACTCACCACTTCACATGAGATTTATTTTAATGTTACTATTTGTTTCTCTCCTAACATCCCCCCAAAAACGAAAACAAAACCAAAAAGAAACGACTCCACCCCTACAACAAAAACAAGATCCCAAAGCTCATTTATTCCTTCAGAACCATCACTGAGCATAGAGAGCGGTGTGCCAGAGCCCTGTGGGAACCTTTTCACAGCCTCACTCTAAACAAAACATTTGAAATCTCCACGATTCCTGGGTGGTTACTAACAGCAGTGTGAATTCACCTAGCAGTGCTGCAGCAGAAAGCCCTGTCTGACGTTCTATTTCTGTGCGATTACAGCACCTGTGGAGTATGGTACTGCTATGACACACATTCCGTTGCCGTGACCTGAAATTGACACAGTGGCATCAGACTTAATACTGGTTCAGTGTTCAAAATTTAATCAGTGTGACTTACCATATTGATCAAAAAGGGAAATCACATGATCATATCAATTGATACAGAAATTATCATCTCTAATGGTGGGGCTTCCACATATATTTTGAGAGCTCACTAGATTCTTGGTACCTATCTAGTTTTTAATTGCTGAATTAATAAGTATCAGTTGCTTATCTTTCACAAGTAAGCTAAGATTAGATGTCTTTTGAGAATACATTTTCTTTGGCGTTCCTGAAAGGAGGAATTCAGCATACTTGTCATCTCAAGGAGACGTAGTGGTGCAGTGGTTACACATCGGGCTGCGGTATGCGAGGTCAGCAGTTTGAAACCACCAGCCACTCCACAGGAGAAAAGTGGGACTTTCTGTTCCTATGAAGAGTTAATCTCGGAAACTCACAGCGGCAGTTCTACTCTGTCCTATAGGGTGGTCACTCTTAGTCGGCATCAACTCGATGGCAGTGAGGTTTTCAAATGTAATTTCATGAGCTTTTATGTCATGATAAGGACTTAAATAAATGTATAATTTTTAGGCATATTAGACATCAAAACTCAGAAGCTGCTATTGATGTCAGATTGCTTAGGCAGTTACAGTCAGGATCGTAGTCATGATTGACTATGTATTTGTTGGTATCGGGTAGTTAGCAAGCCTGGCTTTCCATACCAGGCTTACCCTGAGCAAGAAAGCTATGCCATGATAGCAATTTCCCCGGTCCTTTCCTATGCCAAAGCAGTTATTTTCTTTAGACGCTTAGATTAGATGTAAAGTGCTAGACTGTAAGATTGAGCTTTTGTCAAGAATTTTGCGATATGAAACAGGAGGAGTGTTTGGATTATGCTGGAGTGTTTGTGTATGTACCCACATAAGCATATATAGATGGAGCCTTGGTGGTGTAGTGATTAGGCATTGGGCTACAATCTAAGAAGTGGGCAGTTCTAAACTGCCGGCCAATCCACAGTAGAAAGATGGGGCTTTCTACTCCCCTAAACAGTTAAAATCTTGGAAACTCACGGGGACAGTTCTACCCTGTCCTATAAGTCTGCTATGACTCGGCATTGACTTTATGCCAGTGAGTTTGTGGTATTTTGGTTTGGTCTGGCCCATAAATAGATTTATGAAGTTTTAAGTTTATGTATTTAAATGTAGATAGTATGTAAACAAACATGGTCAAATATAGCTTCTCAGCCCTTTCTCTCCATACCATTTGCATGTACAGTATAGCATCAGTACTATCAAGACTGTTAAAAAAAGTATGAGTTTAAAAACAAATTGTTATATGTATTGGGGTTCAAACATTTTTACCATTTAGAAAATTTACATTATGAAATACAAAAAAATAAAATGATCATAGAAGAAATTTCTCATAATGTTGTAATAAAAGAATATCCTTTGGTAGAAGTAAAATTGGTTCTGTGTTAAATGTAAGGTGTCTTTCAAAATGGTAAAGCTTTCTTATATCACAGTAATATATTCTGTTTTAAAAGAACTTCTGTTTTTACCAAAATGAGACAATATTAAAAGTGTATTCTACAAAACATTAACTAAATCTCAATTAATAAACATTATAGCTTAAAATTTTCTTAATATTTTAGGTTGCGGAAGTTTTACAAGTACCCCCAATGAGAGTATATGAAGTAGCAACGTTTTATACAATGTATAATCGGAAGCCTGTTGGAAAGTACCACATTCAGGTCTGCACTACTACACCCTGCATGCTTCGAGACTCTGACAGCATACTAGAGGCCATTCAAAGAAAGCTTGGTATGGGATACATTATATTGGTAACTTTTCTGAAAAATAAAATTGTCTTTCTAGAGTTGACATTTTTACTTAAAGTTTCCAACAACTATTTTATCAGATCTGTACTTCCTGGTAAATTTTTGTTACTATACTTAACTTTTTTTTTTCCAGTTGTTGGTGGTGTACTTATTCTTTCTGGGTTTTTAGCCTCTGAACTGAGTTTTTCAAATTATTTTGTTTGAAAACCTGTTTTTCCCAATCATTAGGTATATTTGGAAAGTTTCCAGGAGTTTAAATTTTTTTGTTGTTTAGAAAATTAAGTTTGACTTCTTGTATAGTTGCAAAAAATACATAATAAAAATGTGACTTTTTGTTCTGTGTATTCTCCCAAAGGATCTGTGGAATAAATAAGAGGAGTACATACCAAGAATATTTCTGTAATAGAAATTGAAGTAAATGCTACCATGATAGCACTTACAAAATGGCATTTTTCCATAAAAGTAGCAGTTAGCTGAATTTTGACTATGTTAAGTAAAGTAAAACAAGGAGGTGTCTCTTAGTTTTATGGTTGTTGGCTATAACATACCTGTGTCTGTGCAAATAGTTAAGCAGTATGGAAGTATAGCAAACAGAAAGCCAAAGTCTACTCAGAGTGCTTCTCAGCCCAAAACAGATGCTGACAATAACCGAGTATTAGTTTTCGATTTCATGTACTTTTTAATAACTCTTTAAAACTACTAAATACATTGTTATTGTATAATTTCACAGCTTTAAAAAATTTTTAATTCTCTTAATCACTTTATATTAATCTACAATCTGAACATTGTTTTATTTGTTTTCATTCTTTGTATGAAAGTTCAACCTGATCCTGACAGTGATCATTTGTATTTTTAGGAATAAAAGTTGGGGAAACTACACCTGATAGACTGTTTACTCTTATAGAGGTAGAATGTCTAGGTGCCTGTGTAAATGCACCAATGGTTCAAATAAACGACCACTACTATGTGAGTATTCCACTTAATATAAATTGAAGTTGTCTGATAGCTTTTCAAAAAGCACTTTAAAATATTTGAATAAGTTCTGTAGATGTAGGTTGTTTTTGAGTTCATTTAGAAAAAAATGATTAGGATAAATATCCAGAATATATTTTTTTATCTTTAAGCAGTTTTGCATTTAACTTCAGAAAATAACGATACTTAAAAAACAAACAAACACAGGCTTTTAAATTATGAAACTGTAATCTGTTGATGTGCCTTTAAGAATTTGTAGTTTGGTCACCACAGGCGAGTGAGTTCTCATTTAGTTGTACTTAAGTGCTTGGGAACTTTTCAGTGAGCTTTAAAAGGTGACATGATGCAGCAAAAGATGATTGTCGTGACGAATTTTTCGTGAGTAGAGTTGGTTTGAAAAGAGCCCCGATGGTGAGCTGCCATGCAAGGCTAGCAGGGGGACATCAACCAGCTGTTCTGGGGGCGAAAGAGAAGGCTTTCTAGCTGAGAGTTCCAGCCCCCAAGCCCACAGGAGCTGTTCTTTGGTGCCTTACAGGATTGCTGTGAGTCAGGAATGGACTCAGTGGCATTCGATTTGTGTTTTTAAGAGGGGTGGTTCCGTCATTCCAAAGTAAGGGCAAATTGACATAACAATTAGAACAGAGCTTCAAACATGGCAGTGCTCCATTCGAAGATGTGCCACTTGTGCTGCTTTGAATGTTACGTGACTCTACACAGTCTTACCAATACTCTGATCTCATGTATCTGACTCCTCAAAGGGCTCTTTTGAGACCCCCAATCTAGGACTTTGAGCCATCATTTTTCACATCGTCCATTAGTTCTTTGATTGTTGCCATAATTCTTGGTTTTACTTCCTTTTTCTTTGTTACGGATGGAGACCGTACATGCCCCTTAGATGACAGCTCGACGCTTTTAAGACACTACTTATCAAAGTAGAACATGAAACAAAAGGCTCCCAAACTTACTTACCCTTCCTTCCCTTCCTTCAACTTAAAAAAAAAAAATCTTCAGCACCCCCCTGGCAACTTGATAAATTTTTGTACTATAGCCTGTAATCCAGGATAAAGTGTGTGTATCTGCTTTTGCAGCGCCCTAGGATTGTTCCAGCATCCCCACAATAGACAGCATCATTCACTTTGGGCAACACTGATACAGAGCACTGTCTGTGAGGTTAGCACATGCTACATACTTTCACTTTAAAGGACTCCTCTCCATGCACCTACAGTGAGAGACATATTGCATTTCGTATAATTCTAAAGAAGTTACTCACCTGTGCTAACTTTTACAGAGAACAAACGAGCCTGTAGTAGGGTTTTATACAGATTTCAACCATAGGGAGTACTATTTACATGATTATTGTATTATTTTTCCTAGGAGGATTTGACACCTAAGGATATTGAAGAAATAATTGACGAGCTTAAGGCTGGAAAAATTCCCAAACCTGGGCCAAGGTATACTTTTTTTTTTTTTAAGGTATACTTTTATTTATACGTAATAATTTTTGTTCAGAACCATTATATTGGGAGTTAATACAGATACATACCATTCCATAGTTCAATCACATCAAGCATAATTGTACAATTGCTATCACAATCAATTTCAAAACATTCTCTACCTTTTGAATCCTTCCCCCCAGGTGTAATAACTAAATGAGTCTTTAATGTTAAACAGTTTGGAAAAGTTTATACACTAAATTCACAAGAGTTGAAAGGAGCCTTGGGTAGTTACTTAAAAAAAAAAGAAAAAGAAAAATTCATATTACTAAAACCCTATCAGATGATCATCTACCTGCTTAAATAAATAGAATTTATTTATTATGTTAGAAAATGGATCCAAAGTGTATCCTTCTTTAATTTTCATCGGGTTTTTTTTGTTTTTTAAATTTCCATTTTTAATGGTCCAGTTCATACCTTGGACCTAACATAAAATCATTTAAATACCTCTTCCAAATGACAGGTCTTCAGTTACTTGAAATAGCTATCTTGTGTTTATCATATCTTTTTTTCCAGATTGAATTTCAGTAAGTTTTTCAGTGATTTTCTTACATGCTCCTTGGCAAGCTTTTTATTTCACCAGTGAATTTCTAAATGTGATACTTACACACTAATTATTATTAATATGAGCTAAGCAGTGTAGAGCATTTCAAGACTTAATTTATTTCAGATCAAAAAACCAGTAGCTTCCATTTAGTACATTCTGACTCACAACACCCTGTGTTTCAGAGTACAACTGGGTCCATATTTTGAGGATTTATTTTAGCTCTTGTAGTCATGTTTGAATTTCCTTCTGCTGCAACTTGAACTTGCTTATGAGCAAACTTCTGATCATGATGATACGGAACTTCTCCATCATTTCTTTCTGGGAACGTTTATATGTGATTGCTTGTTTTTCCCTAGCTGCTCTCATGATTTTCTCCTTTTCCTCAAAGTTGGATAGTTTAACTATTATATGCCATGGTGACTTCTTCTTGGGATTCAGTCTAGCTGGTGTTCAGCCTCCTGAATGGTTGACTTGTTTTCATTCATTAAGCTGGGGAAGTTTTCCTCCCAAGAATTCTCTCACTGTTGTTGCAGATGACTTCTTTGTTGTGTCTTCCTCCCATAATCCAATAATTCTAAAGTTGTTCTGCTTCATAGCATCAGGCATAGCTCTTGGGTTTTCTTCAGCTTCTCTGATGAGCTTATTAGATTTTTGTTCACGTTTGTTAAAGCCTGCTTGGCTGTCCTCCAAGTCACTGGTGCGATTCCCTGCTTCCTCCAGTCGATTCTTGAGGTCTGTGTGTCTGCTACTGGTTTTTGTTATCTCCTCCCTAAGTTCCTGTATTTCTCTTTGGTGTATGGACTTTATCTGTCATTTCATCCTTTTTCTGTATTGTTTCCTTCATATCCTGTATGACTCCAAGCAGCATTCTGAAATTTCTTTCTGTGGCAGTTCAATGTCTGCTTCTTCTATGCATGTCGTTATGTTCAGGACGCCTTTTGTTTCTCCTGTTTTTTTCATTGAGGTCGTTGAGGCTGATGGCTGTTTGCGCTGTGTTGTCTTAGAGGAGCCAGGTGCCATTTTCCAGGGAGTCGAAGAGCACTGGCTCTCTCTGGGAGACTTGTAGGAATGCTTCTTCCAACTGCCTACAGCTAATTTCACTATGGAATTAACCTACCACTTTATCCTGTGGCTTCCCTCTCAGGGGAGTGCCCCAGAAGGCTGGTGGGTTACCTGCTTTGGTGTTGCGGAGATTGGGCAGAGGTTCCTACAGCAGCTTGGAACATAAGGAGTGTTGGCCGAGCTGCCTTAGGCCTTGTGAGGCACTATGGTAGGCGGGAGGAAATTCCCTCAGTCACATGGGGCAACAGAGGTAAAATAGGAGCTCCCCCAGCCACACAATCAGGAATTCCCTGGTAAGAAGTTTGGCGGATTATCCCCTAGTGGAGGGGATTATCCCCTGGTGGAGGTCGGCTGGGCTTTCCCCAGCCTCCGGATAGCTACACAGGGTGGATGGAGCTCACCTAACTGGGTGGGGGGCAGGAGTAAATGCCCTAGGCTAATGGGAGTGGTCTGGAGGTCCTCAGTGGAGTGTGATAGAACAGGAAAGAGACAAAGAAGAGGGGAAAAAATTAAAAAGTAAGCCCACTGAGACTGTGGGGAGATAAAAAAGAAACAAAAGTAACAATGTAGCTGAGCCCCGATCCCTGCCTGTGGAGCTGCAAGGGTTTAGTCTCTGCCTCGAGGCAGCAGCAAGCTGTGACTGTTGAGAGAAGAGAGGGAAACAAAAGTAATAATGTAGCTGAGCCCCGATCTCTGCCCAGAGGCAGCGGCAAGCTGTGACTGTTGAGAAAAAGCCCCTACACAGCCCGCCCGAGACTGGGGAGATAGGGAGAAGAGAGGGAAACAAAAGTAACAATGTAGCTGAGCCCTGATCCCTGCCCGTGGGGCTGCAAGGGTTTAGTCTCTGCCTCGAGGCAGCAGCAAGCTGTGACTGTTGAGAAAAAGCCCCTGCGCAGCTGGCAGACTGTGGGGGGATAGGGAGAAGAGTGGGAAACAAAAGTAACAATGTAGCTGAGCCCTGATCCCTGCCCATGGAACTGCAAGAGTTTAATCCCTGTCCTGAGGCAGCGGCAAGCTATGGCTTTGTTAAGATTAAGCTCCAGTTCAGACTCCAAATGGTCTCAGCTCTGGTCAAGACAGTGGCAGGGCAAAGATCAAGCCGGCCTCTACTGTGGTAAGCCAAAAGCCCCCAGCCCCTCAAAACCTTGTGGATCTGTGCCTACTTCTCTTATGGTGCTCCTCCTGCGATCCAGCAGTGTTGAATTTCCCTCTAAGTAACTCTCCTGGCCTGATTTCTGCAGAGTCCCTCTGGTAGGTGTTGCTCAGTTGCTATCTTTCTGGAAGTCCTTCTCCATCATTTCTTTATGTAGACAATTTGATCCTCATGTATTCTATCTGGTGAGGTCTATGTGTACAGTTGTTTTGATGTTGAAAAGAATATTTGCAATGAATTGTTGGTTTTTCAAAAGTCTTTTGATCTCCAGCATAATTTCTATCATTAAGGCCATATTTTCCAACTACATTTCATTAAAAAAAATAATTTTATTGAGGGCTTGTACAATTCTTATCACAATCCATACATACATCCATTGTGTCAAACACATTTGTACATTTGTTGCCATCATTCTCAAAACATTTGCTTTCTGCTTGAGCCCTTGGTATCAGCTCCTCATTTTTTCCCCAACTACCTTTCATTTTTGTTCCAACATTTCACATTCTAATCAATAACTAATCAGTGCATCTTGATTGCATATTTGATCGATTTCAAACTAAAGAAGTAAAATTTTTTGATTTCTTCATCTTTGGTATTAGTGAGTGGTACATAAAATTGGAAAAATCTTATTTACCAATCTTCCTTTTTAGAAAGAACCTATCACTGATAGCACAGTACTTCAGGACAGATCTTAAAGTACTATGTTTGACAATGAAGGCACCACCATTCCTCTCTTCCATTTGTCATTCCCCACCTACGAGGTCCTACGATAGTCTGATTCAGAATGGCTATTACCAGTCCACTCAAGCTCCTCCGCCTAGGATATTGATTTTTATTTGCTCCATTTCATTTTTGATGACTTCCAATTTTCTTAGATTTCATATTCTGCTTATTAATAAAATTTTCCAGCTATTTCTTCTCAATTTATGATACACCTGTAATTGAAGGTCCCCAGAGTTTTGCTTCATACACGTAATTAACATCAATATTGAGAAGGCAGCTCTTCCCTATGGCTCATCCCTGGTGGTGATTTGTTCTGTAAAATTGCCTTCCTTCGCTTTGATTTTGCTGATACAGGCTGATGGAATGGAGTGATTAAGCTCTTTGGACTAGCTGATTTTCTCTCAGTACTTTTTGGCACAGAAATGCTTTTTTTATATTTTCAACTTGAGTAACTGTAGCTCATTAAGGATAATTAATTCCATAATTGACTTCCTCCAATTTCTGGACTTCTGTCAGTTTCTCTGTTCATCAAGATTGACAGTCTTCTTTCTCTTGGCTCATGTTTGAATCTCCCTAATTTTCTTTTAAAACTTGGCCTGTTGGTTTATTTGGGACATTCCCAAGTACTTGTTTCAATGCTTCAGTGATTTAGGAAGTTGACAGGTTTTGTTAAAATTTTGATATCAGCTCAGACCTGGCAAAATAGTTTTTTTAGATGGCACAAAGGTATTTTTTTAAGGCACCCTAATGAGGCTAAGACAAGTATTTTGCTGAGAGAACTTGTTTGCAGCCGTCCAGTGATTATGGAGACATGTTTAAACCTGCCTTCTTTTGGAATAAATTCGGGTACTCATATACTGGAATTCTAGAAGCAATACTCCTTGACTTACCCTATCATAAATTATTAAGTGGTGCCACCCTCCTGCCCTCTCAAAAGTGATTTGTTATTCCTCAATAGAACAGGTTTACAGGATTGATGGCAGAATGTAAAGGGCAAAGCAGGAGGGGTAAAAAATACAAACAATACATTCTTTAGCTGAAATCTGTGGCAGGGACAAGTGAAACTAATCAAACCAAGGAGTAGGAGGGGTAAAAATGATAGGAAATAGTGTTCAGCAACACAGGTCTTATAGGTCAGAAATTGAGCAATCTTCCCTAAGAAAAGTCTCTTGTGACTTCTCTGTGGCATTTCCTCGTTATTTCCTCACTGGGACCTGTTCTTGGTTTACTTTTTTCGTGCTTGTGGTAGTCACTCTGAACTGAAGGATTTTTTGTTTGTTTTTTGGATGGGGTAGTGGTAGAACTTAACACCACTAAATTTGTTAAAATTTAAAAACCATAAAGAAAAACTTGGACTTTCTAAAGAGACCTCCTTTGAATTCTTCAAGGAATCCAGTTCATTGATTTCCAGATACAGTATACAAAATTGAACTAAAAAGGTGTGTATTCCCTTATGTTCACGGAGACATATCTCAATTTCAATAAAATAGAATATACAAAGATTTAATGTAGTGTTCTAGGTTAATGAGAACATTTTTTCCCATTGCTCTTAGCTCTAAGCCTACTTTGATCACCGTATCTGTAAAATAAGGCCAATATCACGTTTCTTAGAGCATTATTGTAAGGATAAAGTGAACTTGTTTTGTACATTGTTTAATAAATGAGAACTATTAATTGTAACTTTATTTTACATTTTTCATGTTCCTGGTAAGTATTCATATGCCTTTTTTTCATATTTAACTTTAGGAAGATAAAATCTAGTAGCAGTTGAAATGTTTTAAGTTAAGTAATCCATACTAGTTATAGGGAAAAAATAGTTACCCTGAGTTGTTATGAAATGATAATTATATTTTTGCTAAGTAAAAATTGTTCAATGTTAGTTGATAAAGTTTCTGGTAAATAAACTATTACATTTCATTTCAGGAATGGACGCTTCTCTTGTGAGCCAGCTGGTGGTCTTACCACTTTGACTGAACCACCGAAGGGACCTGGCTTTGGTGTACAAGCAGGTCTTTAATTTATATTCAACTGTACATATGTTATTTGTCACTTGAGAAATAAAACATATCTCTTCAATCCTCATAAACTTTTTATATTATTTAATTCCGGTCTGTCTATACCTTGGGGTAACCTAGCAGCTTGCAGATGTAAGTACTATATGAAAACAACAGAGGACCCTTTTAAAGTCTTGTAACGTTTGTGGCTCACAGCAACTCCATGTAGGACAAAGTACAGCTGTCTTTACGAAGTAGAAAGCCTCATCTTGCTCTTGTGGAACAGCTGGTGCTTTTGAACTGCTGGTCTTCTGGTTAGCAACCCAATGTATATGAGTTGGAATGGACTCTGGTAGTGAGACTGTCTATGGCTATAGTGAACTATGAAAACGGTATTATGTAATCTAGGTAATAATTACTCCAATATCACTAGTTTTCAATTGCTAGGTCACTTTTTTCAAATAGATTAGCACGAAGTTACTATGAAGTAAAATATCCATCAAATTTCAATTACGTTTTGCTTTCACATCTTTATATATACTGATAAGCCTTAACCCTTTTGTGTCTTACAGAACATACAGTACCCACCCCCACCCCCAGTCTTACATTTTTCTCCTCTAGAGTTAAGTGGGAAACTGCTATGCTACTTTTATTATATGCTGCATCTGATGGGGACCTGTGTAATGGAATTTCTAGAAATGAACCTTATTCCACTCAACCTCAGTCCCAGAGACACTTTGGGATATATGTGTCTCTTAAACTGTATCAAAATCCCTATTACTGGAAAATAATTCCATTTTTCATTTAATTTGAAATGCTTTACTACTCAAAATGCCTGGTTTCAACCCAAAAAAGCAAAAATTAATTGTCTTGAAATGGTTAATCTAGTGCTATTTTTATGAATCTCAATAATGTATGTATTATAAACATTTCATGAAAGGCAAGAAATATGCAACACATAAATGTGATTGTAATTTCAACTGCTAAGTAATACCTCAAGTTCCTTTTGATGAAGTTAGGTCGGGGTAGTTAATTGTCTCTAAAAACATTATTTTAGCATTTTTTTATGGTGTTTTTTTTTTTAATCATTTTATTGGGGGCTCATACAATTCTCACCACAATCCACACATACATCCATTGTGTCAAGCACATTTGTACATTTTAGCATTTTTAAAGAACAAAGATACAAAACACTTTGATATTATCTATCTTTGGTCATTGTGGTACTTCAAGTATATATACCCAAAAAGGGAAACAATGGAAACTCACTTCCATCAAGTGTCTGGGCTCAGAGTGGCCCCAGAGGACAGTGTAGAACTGCCCCTGTAGCTCAGGGCAGGAGCAGAAAGCCCCATTTTTTCTCCCAAGGCATGGCTGGTGGTTTTGAATTGCCGAATTTGTGTATTGCAATCCACTTTGTTTTTTTGTTTATTTAATTTTTTTTCAAATCATAATCCAAGTTAGATGTAATATTTTACTCTAGACATAAGTTTCTATTCCCTGGAAACTAATGCTTTGTAGGTGGGAGAAATCAGGGACCTAGACAAACAAAAGGCCAAACCCACTTCTTTAGAAGTTGATTCCAACTCATCATTAACCCTACAAGACTGAGTAGAAGAGAACTGCCCCATGGGATTGCCAAAGGGAGGGACTGGTGAGTTCAAACTCAACCTTTCAGCAGCCTACCACTCTACTGCACAACCAGGGCTGTCAGATACCAGCTGTTCTGTGCTATTTAGTCATTCCGAGTCATAGCAACCCCATGTACAACATTGAAACATTGCCCAGTCCCATACCATCTTCAAAATCATTGCTGCATTGAACCGATAGCTGCAGCCACAATATCAGTCCATCTAATGCAGCGTTTTCTTTTTCACTTACCATCGTCTATTAGCAAGCATGATGTCCCTTTTCAGGGCCTGGTTCTTCCCGATGGCATGGCCAAAAGTAGGCCTCGCCGTCTTTGCTTCTAAGGGACATTCTGGCAGTCCATGTTACATTCAGTAGTCTTAGCTAATACTGTAGTTCCTGCACATCCCTTCTTCAGCCACTCGTGTGTGTGTGTATATATATATATGTGTGTGTGTGTGTATGTATGTATATGTATATGTTTGTGAGGCAAAAATACCATGGCTGTGGATCTGGTGCGCTTTAATCCTCTAAATGATATCTTTGCTTTTTAACTATTTAAAGATGTCTTTTGTGGCAGATTTTCCCAATGCAAGACACGCATCATTTGATTTCCTGACTGTTACACCCATGGTTACTGATTCTCTGTTTATTTTGATGTGTTGTCTATTGGTCCAGTTGTGTTTATGCTGAGGTGTAATCCATATTGAAGGCCTTATTCTCTGACTTCATCGGTGAGTGCTTCAAGTCCTTGCAAACAAGGTTTCATCACCTGTCTGTCTTATGCTAATAAGATACCCGATTCTGCATATAGCCCCTCTTCTTGAAGTGGCCTAGCATATAGATTGAGTAAGCACTGTGGAAGGATATAACCAACCCTGGCACGCACCTTTCCTCATTTTAAACCATGCAGTAATCTCCTTAGGAGCACTGGTGGTATAGTGGGTTATGTGTTGGCTGCTTAGGGCAAAGTCAGCAGTTCAAAACCACTACATGCTTTGCAGGAGAAAGTTGAGGCTTTTTACTACCATAAAGATGTGCAGTGGGGCAGTTCTCTGTCCTATAGGGTCAGTATGAGGCAGAATTGACTCGATGGCAGGGATTTTGGTTCTGGTTTGAGTATTCCCTTGTTCCTCTTGGCAGCCTATGTACAGGTGTCATGTGATAACAATTATATGTTCTGTTATTCTTTACAATGTCATCCTCAATTTATGATTTACATAGTCTAAAACCATTGCATAGTCCACAAAACACCAGTAAAACTATCAAAAGGATAATACCGTGATTTTAAATGCAAGTTAATACTTTGAATAGTAATTTGGGATTTAGCTTCTCTGGTCAAGTACGAAATGTGAGTTCATCTGTGATCACTACACACCTAAACCCTCAGTTTCTACTTGTATTAGTGACATAAAGAACAGCCTTACATAAACTAACCGTTCTCCTTAACTCACAAATGGTGTTGCAGTAGTTCAAAACCAACAATCTAGTCAGAGGCTAGCTTCCTACCAGACAAACCTGATGGTCTTCTGAAAGCTCAGCCTTGAAGTCCCCCTAGAGCTGTTTTAGTTTATACACATCTGGTTACCATGAGAGTCAGAATCTACTCAACACCTACTGGCAACGGGGCTCCTTGGGGTTTTCAGTGGATGATTTTTCACAAGTAGATGGCCAGGGCCTTCACGTGAGGGGTCTCTGGGTTGTCTGAAAATGAAACCTGGAGGGTCGCTGGGCATGCACTGAATAGTGGCAAGGAGTGCATATCGTTAGGTGCCATTGGGTCCTTTCCAACCCATAGCAAACTTAGGCCCAACAGAACCCAACCCTGCCCTGGCTGTACCATCCTCCCCGTTACGCTGGGGTCCACTGTGGCAGCCATGTGTCAATCCATCTAGAGCGCCTTCCTATAGCTTGCTGCCCCTCTACTAAACATGTCCTTCTCCAGGGACTGGGTCTCCTGTCCAAAACAGTAAAACAAGGTCTCGCCATCTTTGCCTCTAAGGAACATTCCAGTCGCACTTCTTTCAAGACAGATCAGTTTGTCCTTTGAGCATGCCTTTCCATATTCTCCAGTACCCCACTTTCACATACATCTGAGGCAATTGAAAATACTATGGCTTGGATCGGGCACACGTTAGTCCTCAAAGTAACATCCTTGTTTTCAGTACTTAAAAGTGGTCTCGTGCAGCAGATATACTCTGTGCAAGGCGTCTTTTGATTTCTTGACTGCTGTTTCCATTATTGTGGATGCAAACAAAAACGTCCTTGATGTCAACCTTTTCTCCATTGATCTTATTGGTCCAGTTGTAAGGATTTTGGTTTTCTTTACACTGAATTGTTACCTATACTGAAGGCTGCAATCATTTTTCTTCACCAGCAAGTGCTTCAAGTCATTTTTAAAAAGCAAGGTTGTGTCATCTGCACATCGCAAGTTGTTAATAGCCTTTCTCCAAACCTGATGCTGCCTTCATATAATCCAGTTTCTCTGATGATTTGCTCAGCATACAGATTGAATAAGTATGGTGAGAGGATACAACCCTGATGCACACCTTTCTTGATTTTAAACCACGCAATTTCCACTTGTTCCGTGCACAAAACTGCCACTTGATCCATGTACAAGTTCCACAGGAGCACAATTATTTGTTCTGGAATTTCCATTCTTCTCAAGACTCTAATTTGGTGTAAACAACACAGCTGAATGCCTTTGCACAGTCAATAAAACACAAGTGAACATCTTTCTGGTATTCTCTGCTTTCAGTCAAGCTTCATCTGACATCAGCATTCATAGCCCTTGTTCTATGTCGTCTTCTGAATCCAGCCTGAACCTCTGGCTTCTCCCTGCCTGTGTACTACTGCAATCATTGCTGGATGATCTTCAGCAAAATTCTGTTTGCATGTGATATCAATGATAATGTTCTGTAATTTGCATATTTTGCCGAGTCACCTTTCTTTAGATTGGGTACAAATAGGGATCTCTTCCATCCAGTTGGCCAGGTAGCTGTCTTCCAAATTTCCCAGCATAGAGAAGTAAGTGCTTTTCAATACTTCATAAGCTTGTTGAAACATTTCAATGGGTATTCCTTTCAGTGCAGTTTGAACTTCTTCCTTCAGCCCATTGGCTCTTAAAACGTATAAATTATGGTCGAGTGACGAGATTTAAAAGGTATTCAGGAAGTCAGGATACACTGCTGTGATATTGTTTGTTATTAAACAAAGACATGATAAAAACGTCCTCATGCACACTGCTCCAAAACCTATACAACTCCCTCTGGCATTCAATGTCAGATGTAGGGAAAATAGGCTCAAATTTCTCTGAGAGTATAATCTCTGCCAGCCCTTGGACAGGTAGGTACACGTTAGCGCACTCGGCTCCTGCCTGGGGACCCCAAGGGACAGGTGGCCACGGGTAATCAAGCATATCCAGGAGGCGGCCCATGCACCGGATTTGTGGCCTGGGTGGACC